CCACCCAAATTAAAATAACACAGCATAGTGTTAATTCTATCACATGGTTATTCTCAAAATATTTTTGATCATTGAACAATTAATTTATCAATCAAGGACTTTAAAAAAGAAAACATGAAACGGAGCAGTAGTAACATAAATGGTTTTCTACAACTGGACTTTTCCAGAGTGGTCTTTGTGATTAAATTAGAAAATAGCTCCCCCTTGTGACCAAAAATCAGCTAATGTGGCATGAGAACCAAAATGAAGCAAACCTTACGCCAGTCTCCAGAAAGGAGGAAGCAGGAAAACAGGAAAAGACCGCCCCTTCAGGATGATGTTATTGTTACATTTCTTATGTTAGACATTACTAGTTCATGAACACTTAAAGCAGTGGTCCCCAACCTTTCTGACACCAGGGACCGCTGCTCCTGTGAGAATCTAATGCCTGATGATCAGAGGTGGAGCTGAGGCGGTGAAGTTAGCTAGATCTGGGGAGCGCCTGCAAATGCAGATGAAGCTTCGCTCGCTCGCCTCCTGCTGTGCGGCTCGGTTCCTAACAGACCCACTGGTATCGGTCCATGGTTCCGAGGGTTCGGGGACCCCTGACTTAAAACACCCCTTTGTTTATGCTGGAGTGGTTAATTCTGATTATGGACTTTAATTCCAAAAGCAGATTTATATTTGCTCTATCCTTTAGGAAAATTATTTTTCAAAAACTTTTATTCAATTTTTACGTTTTCTCTATATTCCCTTTTGCCTTTATGACTTGCAGAAGATGAACAGTCGTGATGTAAATTTTACCTTTTTTCCCCCCAAAATTATTGACTGCAATCAGATAGCTAGTGGATGGAGATGACATCTTTGGAGGGAGAGTGGGGATTTAGAAACACAAAGTAGAAAATTAGGTAGTCAAAGACTATTTCTAAAAATTAAATATGTTCAAATCAGTGGCCTTTAATGTTATCCACAAACCCTCATGTACTATTTAAAACAATGGTGCAATCATGAGTTATTATTTTCGGTAAGCACAACTGACGGGTATAGTCTCCAAATACTGAAGACTGCCACTGTTTTTGAAGGATGCAAAAGGAAATACAGATCTATGCTTAACTTTAAAACCTAGAAAAATACTGAGGCAAATCCCTGATCAGCCAATTCATATTCATCCTTAGGAAACTGCAGAATGTAAAACCAAACCAAAACAAAAATAAAAACATAGTTTTGTAAACACAAAAGTGCATGAGCTTAATCTAAGATTAGGTGAACTGAGATTAAGATGGAACTAATGTGTTGATCCAATTCTCCTGAATAACAATAATAATAGCTCTTATTATGACATTTGCTCTAACAGTTTTGGAGCATTTACTATGAGTCAGTCGTGGTGCTAAGCACTCTACACGTATTATCTCATATAATACTATTGTTATATTTCACATTTCACAGATGAGGAAACTGAGGCATAAAGAGTTTAAGTAATGTGCCTAAGATCAAGCCATAGGTCAGATTCCAAACTCAGAGCTGGCTCACTACCTCTTAACCACTAAGTTCGTTGGAAACCAGGACGGGTGCTCGTAGCTCATACTCCAACCTTCTGCACTTTAAGTTGTGTCTAGTTTGGTCACGGGTATTCAGTTCAATCTGTGACAGCTGGATAGAGGGCAGTTTTCCACATGATGTAATCCGCAAGGTGCTCACCAAAGACACTGCTGTTAAGAGAGCCCACTGAGGTCACTTAAACAATCAAGAGTCAAAGAGGAGAAAAGTATGGTATTTTGACTAAAGAGAAGAAATCCAAGGACTCAGTTTGGGACTATTCTTAAGGTTCTTCTAAGGTGAGGATTTAGACTTTCTGATTCTGTGAAGTGTAATATGGGATGTTAATGATACTTTCTAGAATCTGAAATCCAGTTTTATCCCGGTTTGGTTCGCCAAAGCTCTATGGCTCTAGGTCTGGTTTAGGATGGATTGGAGCAGTTTACTCTTGTCTGGACCAATCCTGAGAATTCATGCTCATCTTAACTCATCCATAAGTCACATCAGTCTTTTTTTTTTCTTCTGGTCTCTACATTCCCCAGTCAAAGTTCTTTCGGAGTGGAACCATGCACAGAACAGATACCAAACTAATACCTGTTGAATGAGTGGAGGAAGTGACACAAAAGAATCTTAACTATAAAGAGGAATAAGCTAGATAAAGAAGGAGGAGCATATTCCAAGTAGAGAGAACAACATGTACAAAAACTGGGCCACGTGAATCGTTTAGGGAACTGCGATGGCTGAATACAGCTGGATTAAAGGCTTTGTGATAAGAAGGTTGTGCAGCTTAGTCACAGCTAAGAGCCAGGACTCCCTGGATCCTGCTAGTTTTGGGTGAATCCAGGTTGTACCTCTCACCAGCTGTGTGTCTTTGGGCAAGTTATATAACTTCTCTGCACCTATCTCATGGGGTATTGGATTAAGTAAGTTATGGCATAAGAAGTCTTTGGAGCCTAATATGTAATGAGTACTCAATAAATGTGAACTTCTGCTATTATCACGTGAGTGAGTAGTGGGGTAGTGGGATAGGCAGAGGACAGGTCCTAGAGTTTCTTGTGTAAAAAAGAAAGAACGTTTATGCCAAAAGCAATGGAGAGTTTTTGAAGGTTTATAAGTGGGGAATCAGGGTGTGATTTGAATTTTAGAAAGGTGATTCTGCGATGGGTTGAAAGGGACCAAACTGAAGACAGGAAGACCAGTGACAAGGCAATCGAAGTATTCAAAGTGAAAAGAAATAGACTTAAACTAAGTCAATTCCAGGTACTATGCAGAGGAGAGGGAGCCCCAACTGAGACTTAGCAGGTCCAATCACTGGAGTCAGCCCCTGACCAAGTGAGGGAGACGCTGAATCTCAGTTGTCAGGTGGTGCAGTTGGGTGAGTGAGGGTACAATCATGGAGAATGGACACACTAGGAAAAGGGTGGATTTGGAGGAAGACAAAGAATTTAGTTCTGTGCATGGTGTCTTTAATTTTGGACATGCTGAGTTTGAAGAGAAGAGCTAATCACCACTGCCTAGTAGGCAATGGATAAACAGGTTTGAAACTTCAGAGAGATAGAATTCTGACAAGAACCCTAACCATTATTAAGTGGAGATGTTTATACTTTTGGTCTCAAGAACAATAATTTTTTTTGGTTGTTTAAGATGCCTATGCCTTGATTATAGATATTATTATTTAAAAGGTTAACAAACCCCATCTAGATAATGGTGAGGGGAGGAGATTCTGTTGGCAATTCAAGAACCTTATCATTTGTTGTCAGAAAGTAGTGACTAAAACAAAGGCACTGCCAACATCAAAGACATACGAACTATTGATTTGGTTATATTTTGAGGATTTTGTTAGCTGACCTTCTTTGCAATGTGCTGCCTTTGGTTGAGACATATACCATATAGTCATTATTTAAATGTGTGCATATGGGTGCAGTTATTAATGTGTGTGTACATGAAATGTGTTTGTAATTTTATACTTTTTAGTCATTCAAAAATTTTACTATGCCTCTGCAATTTTTCAACTTTCCCCATAGGTATCTCTGACGAATATATAACACCGATGTTTAGTTTTTATAAAAGTGTGGCAGAATTGAAAATGACTCAAGAAGAGTATGCTCTGCTTACAGCAATTGTTATCCTCTCTCCGGGTAATTTCAATGTTATATTTTCATTTTTATGCCAATTTTTAATTTTTTCCCAGTCTAATAGTAACGTTTGTTAAAGAAAACCTAGAAAATACAGAAACGTAATGTAAAAGTAAAATGTCCTCTAATTCCCCCACTTCAAATTGAACCATGTTAACATTTCAGTATATTTTTTTATCAGCCTTTTTCCTAAACCTCCTACTCAGTAAGTGCAATCTGAACACCTACTCTGCACTAAACATGGTTCTAGATGTTGGAAGATATAGCAGTAAAGAAACAGGCAGGATACAGCTACATGGAATTTATATTCTAATAGAGTGAGAAAGACAATAAATGAAAAAAATATCTTTTCAGGAGGTGGTAAATGCTTCAAAACATATAAAGATGAGAATAGAAGGAAAGAACGTAGCAGTAGAATGGCATTTTAATTAGTGGCCAGGGAAATCTTTTCCACGGGGTTAATATTTGAGCAGAGACCTGAATGAAATTAGATACTTTTTAACATAATAGAGAACATACTGTCTTTTTTTTTTCTAGTTATAGTTGACAGTCAATAGTATTATAATAGTTTCAGGTGTACAGCACAGTGGTTAGACATTTACATAATTTGTGAAGTGATTCCTCTGATAAGTCTAGTAATTATGTGTGTCACCATATATAATTATTACTATATTATTGACTATGTTCCCTATGCTGTACTTTACATCCTCATGACTATTTTGTAACTGCTGATTTGTACTTCTTAATCTTCACCTTTTCACCCAGCCTCCCACTCCCCTTACCTCATCTGGCAACCATCAATTTGAGAACATGCTGTCTTTTTTTCTTTTCTAAGTCTTTGCCCATGTCATGAAAAAATTATACCGGTAAAAGTTTATTGTAGTGCATGCATCATAGCCCACTGTATTGATGACTAATCATTTTCTTAATATTTACCGTATATTTGGATATTGAGGATGCTTCCAATTTTTTGTTGTTTTAAACAATGCTGAAATGCATACCTCTGTACATCCTTTTTAAAATACTTTTTTATTAATTACTTGGGAGTAAGTGATGCCACATGCATGATTTATAAAGCATAATTATGTTAGACTTAAATCATTTGTACACAATATTGAGGCAGAAGGTAGTTGTTACTTTGTTTTACTATAAAAATTATAATTAAAAAACAGAAAAAATTTTGGTAGTACTTACTAAAGTACTACCACACGTAGATATACCCTATGACCCAGCAATTCTGTTCCTTAGAACATACCCACCAATCATGCTGTTTATCCACCATATGGGTTAACTTTGGGGTCACCTATTGGGAAGAGAATTTAGGGAGGCTTCTGGGGGGCAGTAAATTTCTATCTCTTGACCTTGTGATTACACGAATATATATGTATGTGTTCAACTTGTCCATTTCAAGTGTACATTTGTAAGTTATACTTTCAAAAGGCTCACATCGCTCTGTGATACCAAATTCATACTTCGGCACCTTTTAATTTTGTCATTTCATTTTAAACTTCAAAACAGACAGACAGTACATAAAGGACAGAGAGGCAGTAGAGAAGCTTCAGGAACCACTGCTTGATGTGTTGCAAAAGTTGTGCAAGATTCACCAGCCTGAAAATCCTCAGCATTTTGCCTGTCTCCTGGGCCGCCTGACTGAGTTGAGGACGTTCAATCACCACCATGCCGAGATGCTGATGTCATGGAGAGTGAATGACCACAAGTTTACCCCCCTTCTCTGTGAAGTCTGGGACGTGCAGTGACCAGCATCACCGCGGCAGGGTCTGGCTCTCTATTTTCCTCATAATATGAGTCCGATGTGTAACTTTCCTTTATTTCATTTGTACCTGGTTCCACACAAGAATGCTGATGAATATTTATGGAGTAATTATATAACTTCCACAATTGTAAATATGGGGCTAGACAGAATTACTTTCTCTACATCACATTTTTAGATGGCTTCAGGGAATCTTTTATTCTAATTGGCATGCCCTGTTTGCCTAATTAAATTGATCGTTACTTCAATTCTTTCTGTTGAAACAGGGAAAAATCTCACTTTGCTCTTCGTCTTACCTTATTGCATATATTTTGTTAAGGAGTTATGTGCAATTTTGGCAATAAACTGAACGCAATCACCACAGGCTTTTTGTGGGGGGAAAGAATTAGAAAATTACACAAACTCTTATTTCTTTAAATGACGAATGACATCCTATCGAGCCTGAGGGGGTAATTTATAAAAAGATAAACTCCTATTACATAAATGGTACTTTTTTCATCCCTGGAGAAACCTTGGTAAATAGTCATTCATTTGTAGTAACCCTACGATCATTTCATTTTCTTTGAAGTTCAGAGAGAATAGCATGCAGAAAAGTTAATGATTCTCACATAAGATATTCCCCCAAGCATATTTAGTCATCTTTTAGGGGGAATCCTTCCCATAGTTAGGGTCTTGAGGCAGCATTTACATAGTATGGGGATAACTCCAGGGATGGGACATTCCTTTTCTCCCTGAAAAGCACTCACTATTGGCTTCAGTGCATATAATTAACCTTTTTTGTTTTGTTTTGTTTTGCTTTTGGAAAACACTCCTTCGGCCTAGTGCACAGCTGTTGTATACTTCCCCCGAAGCAGGAATTGGTTCATTTCCTTCCTTCATTGTTATACTGTTGCATTCTTCTCCCCATTATCCTTTGGTGAATACAATAAAACACCTATAAATAATGGGCTTATATCTCCCTTTCTCCTGAAGTCAGCCAAAATGGAGCTTGCTTAGCAAGCAAAGTTCATTTTTTTTTTTTTTTGTATTAAAATACTGGGGCAACATTGAAGTGCTAAAAATAGCGAGTGGAAAAAAGGGGTGAGTTGGGGCTAGCAACAGTTGGATTACATTTACTACAACAAAAAAAGACTCATGTTCCCACTAAGTGTAAGACTCTTTTGCTAAACTCTATGGAGATATAAAGATGATTAAGACACAGTAGTTGCCTAGAGGGGCTTACCAAGAAGTCCAGAGGAATGTTGTAGGGGCTCAGCTGGGAAAGTCTCACGGAGGAGGTGGCACGTCTCTGGGCTTGGAAGGATGGCCAGGACTTCCATGGGTCAAGGTCAGAAAGAAGGAAATTCAAGGCGAAAGGAACAGCAGAAGCAAAAGGTAGGGAGTTGTACAGATGTTAAAAGGACACGAGTAATGTAAGTGGTGAGCCTCAGTCTCACCACTGAAAAATGAAGAAGATAACAGCACTTGTCATCTAAAGAGATTTAGCTGATAAATGAGGAGTAAGTGGGAAGCTGCAGGCCTGCCAGGGGACAGGGATGGTGAGGAAAGGACATTTAAGACAGAGAAATAAATTTCTGATGCCTGAAGGAGTAGATCTGGTTTGGAAAACTGAGTGCGATTTGGTGTCTCCCGATCACAAGGCATATATGGGAAAGTGGTGGGAAATGAGCCGGAACTGGCGGGACACTGTAGACAGAACCAGGAGTTAAGCCTGCAGGTTTGGATTTATTCAAGTGGTTAAGACTGCGTAATAGCACATGATAATGCTTCTCCTGTGGAAAACTAATTACAATACAAGAAGAAATACATTCTGGGACTTCGTCCCCAGTTCCTGACACAGAGCTTCTAAAACCCTTAGAATTTCCTGAGTGACAGGGGCATCTTTCGTTAGTCATAACAAGCCCCTTTCAACCACACATGGATTTCTGCTAATAAGGTGAATCTGTGGACCTCTGGATGCTTCTGGATGAGGAGTGGTTGCCAGAGGAAACAACTGTGTGATCGGAGGGTTGGAACTTTCAGTACTCCCATCCTAGACCTCTGGGGAAGGAGGGTGATTCCAGAGACTGAAGTCAATCACCAATGATTGATGACTCAATCAATCATGCCTATGTAATAGAACTTTCATAAAACTCCTAAATGATGGGATTTGAAGAGCTTCTGGGTTGGTGAACACACTGAGGTGCTGGGAGGGTGGCGTGATGGAGAGAACATGAAAACTCCATGCCCTCTTCCTACTCCTCAGCTCCCCATCCCATACCTTACCTGTGCCCCTTACATTTGGCTGTCGCTGAGTTCTATTCTTTATAATAGACCTGCAATAGTAAGTAAACTGTTTTCCTGTGTTCTGTGAGCCATACTAGTAAATTATTAAACCTGGAAAGGGGGTCGTGGGAACCCCTGGATTATAGCCAATTGGTCAGAATTACAGATGACAACCTGGGACTTAGGGGCAAGGCAGTCTTGTGGGTCTGAGCCTTCAATCTGTGGGGTCTGTGCTAACTCCAAGTAGTTAGTGTCAGAACTGAATTGAATTGTAGGACAACCAGTTGATGTCAGACCTTGGTATTCGTGTGGGGGAAAAAAAAAACCCAAACATTTATTTGGTGCCAGAACTATAAACAGAAAAATTTCACTGATGGATTTTGTTTTTCAGAAAGAATTTTTGTGAGACTTTAAGAAAAAGCGAAAGAGCAAGATAAAGAGAAACAGAACAGTAGGAATTTGTAATCAGATACCATGCCCATGAAGAAATATAGCAGAATCTGGTTTTAAGGTCAGAAAATATATATCATTGATACAGAGTATCACAGAATCAGATCTGCTACTCATTAGCTTTGTGACCTTGTGAAAAATTTTAAGTTCTTTTAGGCTCAGTTTCCTATGTGTAAAATGTGGACAATATGATATTCCTACCTCACAGGGTTAGCAGGAAGATTAAACATGATAACCTTTCAAAAGCAATTTCCTTGGCAATGCATGTTTAGACACCCTGTAAATGGTGGTTACTACTACTACTATTATTATTATTAATAAAATTGACTGCCATAAGCTGATATTACTGGTGTTGCATTTCTAATTATCTCTTGAGCTTTGATATAATGAAATGATAGTACTGAACAAAAGAGGAAAAGAGTCCACAATATAGTAAAGGAGACAGACAAGAAATAAGTACATAGAAATTAAATAAGTACAAATTGTGATCAGCATTATGAAAGAAGGGCAGCATACTCTCTGTGATGTGCATTTTTATGAATCATTAGAATGATATCTTTCTAAAAATGCAAATTTGGTTATGTGCCACTGTGGTTTACCATTGGCTTCAGCAAAAACTCTTAACTCACTGGCAGAGCAATTTAGTTATTAAGACTCTTCACCATCTGGTCCTACTCCACCCTTGCGTCTTGCTCCTGCCTAAATTCTAGGTCCAGATAAAATACCTTTCCCAGAATGTTATATTCTATTAAACTGAGTGAGAAAAAAGATAGGATAGAGAAAAAGACAATGGCGTTTTCTCATTCTCTCCCTTTCCTTTCTCCTTCTATCCCAATGGGGTTGATTTTGTCACCCAGGACTTGGCAATGTCTGGAGACAGTTTGCATTGTCATAACTGGGGGTGGGGGTAGGGATGCTACTGGCATTTAGTGAGTAGGGGCTGGGGGTGCTGCTAAACATCCTATAATGAACAGAATGGCCTCCCACAATAATCATCTAGCCCAAAATATCAGTAGAACTGAGGTTGCTGCTTTCTCTCCTCCCAAGAAGGTATAACCTCTACGCTGCACTTTATTCTGACTTGATCTAGCTTCATCATCATTTTCATATGGTGATGGCTTTTTAGTCCATATCAACATTATAAACAATCATTATATTTATGAATTCAACTGCTAGATATGAGCAACTGATTTCATTCTACAGCAGAATTTTTACTTTTACTTTTTCCTAGCTTTTCTTTTTTCTTTTATTCTTTTTTACAAGAGAACTACAATTTATTCTTTTTTTTCCTTATTGTGGAAAATAATACCTTCAGTAAATTGTCGAATATCACATATCACATTTGGGCGTTAGTTACTATAGTGAGTAGCTATAATTTTTTGGACACCCAGAATTCATTGCCTTTCCTTAGGTAAGAGTACTCTGATTTCCTCAGGGGAACCACACCCTCTTTCCTTCTAGTCCTTGTGTTTTGGATGGAGTGGATTCCATCCCCAGCTTCAGGGTTGGAAATCTGACTTAAGCATAACCAATGAGAGCATCACACATCTTAGGTCACAGTGAATGGTTTAGGATTGGGCATGTGACCCATTCATAAAAAATGAAATATTTGGCTTGGAGTATTTTTAGGAGGTAAGCAGTGCTGGTCATTTGTTTGTGTGTATTGTATTATCGTTCCAAATTCTTCACTCTTTCCCTGTAATAGACATATATGTCCAGGGTCCCTTTGCCTGGCAAATTTGTCGTGCCTCTCATAAGAGCAGGCAGAATAGTTGTTCAAGCCCATCAATGCTGGGCTCATCTATATAACTTGCTTTGGGCCACGAAATATGGGTGGAAGTGACAGTATGCCAGTTCTGAACTGAAGCCTTAAAGGACATCACATGTTTCTGCCCGCTGCTCTTGAACTTTGCCATTTGCCATGAGAAGAGAATACCCTAGATAACGACAAGTCCCAGAATGAGAGGCAGAAGGAACATATCTAAATCCAACACACAGCTTTAAGCAATGCCCTTCTGCTACCATAAGCTAACTTACAGATCTATAAGCAAGAAAAATGTTTATTATTGTGAGCCACTGAGTAGGAGTTGTCTATTTTATAGCATTATCACGGCAAAAACCTAAATAATATTTCCTATTTGTGTTCAGATTATTCCTCCCCTTGCCTCTGCTCATATTGGGAGGGAGGGCGAACCCTGCATTTTATAGATCCCCAGTCAGCTGGCTCTGGCTAGTTTCAGTCAATGGAAGGCACTGATGGAAGATTAAAGGACAGAAAGGAAACAGGCAGAGAATGTCTCCCTCACTCTCTCTGCCTCTCATGGCATCTCTGGTAGTGACTGCATCTCCTACTGAGCAAATCCTACCCTCGTGCTAATGGCCCTGCCTTCTGGGCTCCCCTTTTGAACTTCCAAGCCCTACAAAGAAAGCTTCCTACTGTTGTTCATCTTTAAGTTGTCTCATCTGCTCCTCTTTATTGTCTCAGTTCTTCTATCTCTTACGAAACCAAGTTCCTGCATTAAATTTCCTCTTTTTGAAGCACCTACAGTGGTTTATATTTTCTGACTTGAGCCCGACTATACAGTTACTCACTTTTTATGGTTAGACTTAAACTTAAGAGAATGTACAATTTGAACTGCTGGAAACTATTTGTAACCAGAGGGAATCTGATTATGAAGCCAATATAAAAAGCAGAGCCATTTGAAACTGGATTCTGGTTACGTTATTTGAAATCTTAGATTGGGCTTCACCTAAAGCTGAAGTTCTATCTAGAGACTTCAGTTACATGAGCCAATCTATCCTTTTTTTTTCATAAGTTAATTTGAGAATTTTTTTTTCTATCACATATAACTAAAAAGTCTTATCTCTTATAGGGATATCCTCACCTAGTCTAATATGATCTCTTCTCGATCCTTACCTTAATTATATCTGCAAAGACCTGATTTCTAAATAAGCTCACATTCTGAGGTTCCAGGTGGACATAAATTTTGGAGAGGAAACTATTCAACCCACTATATAGATTATTATTTTAGCATTAATAAAAACTGTTACTGTAAAATTTTATATCATTGAATTACTTATACATTATATTTGTAATGTAAATTGCTAACATTCCTTTAAGATAGAGCCTTGTATTGTTTTTAATGTGGTTGGCTCTCAATGGATTACTGAATGAGTAGTTTAATTGTGAATGAATTAAGATCTCTGTTGCCCCCAAATTTCATCCAATACATCACCCAAGGCACAATCCATAGATTGACACTCAATAACATAAAAACATTAAAAACAATAACAGCAGCAACCGCAAAATGCAGAACAAAACAACTAATAAGCCGATCTAAAGCAAAAATAAAAAAATCTCCAGCTGTGGTATATTTAAGGCAATGGAGCATTCCTACAGGTCTGTGAATGATGTTTAGTCAAATGAATAATGATTCCTAACATAATAACTTAAAATTTAGATTTCCAAGCACAATACTTTCTTAAAGTGAAAGTCACAATTCTGGGAAAGTCAGACTTAACAGACTTTGTCATCTGATGGAAGCAAACTGATGAAGCACATTATGCATGTTACAACCATGTGAATTTCAAGTAAAGGGATGATCTCTAAAATATGGCTATTATCCTAACCATCAATTAGAAAATCTACACGTGAAAGTAGATTGCTGCTCCTTAGGGAGAACCCTCAATTACTAATTGCAGTGTTAAAACAAAGGTAGGTAAGATGGTGAGTGTACTTAGGGACTGGGGTTCTAACTGGGAATTAATGTAAAAGTGAGGTTGGAAAAACATCAAAGATAACTTTTTTCTTCTTTATACAGAAGGGAGAAGCAACAAGAATTAAAGAATCTAAAATGGAACTCCTCATCCAATCCCCACATTTAACCAGTGGAGAATATGGGCTTATAGAGGAGAAGCGATTTGCACAGACTGGCTCTGGATTCAGTTTCCAACGTAGTGTCCTATATCTTTATAAGGAAGAGAAGTTACCAAGACAAACCAAATAGACAAGAAATATAAAAAGAAGGCAACCAAAAAATACTCTGCTGCTGAAGTTTCAGTCAATGATTTAGAAATATGTGGTGGTGGTGGTGGCGGAGTGTGTGTGTGTGTGTGTGTGTGTGTGTGTGTGTGTGTGTGTAAGGAGAGAGAGAGAATGTGAATATATCTTATATAGCATAGTTTCAACTTTTAATAAGTTGTACTCAAATGTTTAGGCACATTATATGCATGCAAGGAAAAATAAAACAACTGTTAACTAATGACTCATCAAACAATAGCTATATAATACAATTTACTTAATTTTAAGGTTCCATAGAGAAGTATACATATTTTGATATTAGGGCTCAAAGAATCAATTTAAAGCCACAACTCTACTTGAAGCTTGGCTAAACGAAGTGGTATGACAATTGCCCCCTTAATTTCAAATAGAAACACTATGAAACAGAGGTTGATTTGAACAACAGGTCCTGTGAAAATTGATCTATGGTAGTCATAGGTAGCCAAGTGTTCTAGGATCACTTCTGTGAAAAAGGAGAAACTGCTGTCGAGAATCAGGTTCAATTACAGCTTACATGTCGACCTTTTGATGATCATCTTCACCCATCCAGCCCAGAAGATAAGCTCTGTGAGAGCAGGACCCCTGTGCTTAGGATGCAGTTTGGTGAAGAGCAAGTGCTCAGTAGTCCTTGTTGGATTGATTTCTCAAGTCTATATCTCTTGCACAAACCAATTTAATCAGCTTCAGACCTAACATCCAACTATCTTTAGAACACCTCTACCTACACATTCCTCCTACACTTTGAACTGAACACACCCCTAATCAAAATACATTATTCTTTTCCCAATGTTGTATTCCTTAGATTGATATCATTGTCACATGACAAATCCAGGTAAGTCAGCATCTTAAGGTACCTCCAGACATCTGTTTCTCACCGTCCTTTCTGAGCTAGTTTAGGTAATTGTCATCTTTTAATTTTTTAGAGTTGCTGCCAATCTTACTCCTTTCTTCCAAAATCCTTGAAATTTTTTTTTTCTAAAACAAAATCTGTTCATACCATTTCCTTCTTATAATCAATCCCAACTACCTGCTAGAAAGAATCTAACCTCCTTGGCACCTCTCAGGCCTGTCGTCTGTGCCTAGTCCTCCAGACTCATGTATCTCTCCATCTCCAAACTTGAGTCATTCAAAACTGCTATTCCCAGAACATTCTAGGTGCTCTCACATCTCAAGAGCCTTGTTATTCCCTCTGCCTGGAAAACATTCCTTACTCCCAATTATCCTCCCTCTTGGCAGATTCCTATTTATCCTTTAGAATCCATCTCCTTTCAAACCTCTGACCACCACCCTCCAAGACTGTTGGGTGTTCCCTCTTTCACAGACCTGCACAGACTTCACTGATTGAGCCTTCACCACGCTGCTGAGCATTTTGAAGGCAGGGACTGTTCATTTTACTATCTTCAGCAAGCAACAGAACCTCTTCATTGTTTCTGATGAGTGAATGAAGGAATGAATGTTAGAAAGATCATCATTCCAAGTTAATCCCCACACTTTACAGATGGACAACGGAGTCGCAGAGGGGAGACATGGTTTGACAAAATTCAATCGAGAAGAGGGGAACAGCCTGGACCTCCAGGCTTTTGGCCATTAAGTTTTCTTTTTTCTTTTTGCTATTAATAAGCCACATTAACAGTTATCACAGACCTATCTATTGTTACATTTAAGTCCAGTCTCTGCTTTATCTCAATCCCCCGAGCTGGTAAGCATATCTCATTATGGTGAGGTTAATTTTTCTCCCCTCGCTCCTGTGTTTCCTGAAGGAAGTGCTAACATCCCCTTTTTGCTTTCGGTTGTGGCCTGGAGTTATAGGATTCCTCTCCGCCCCTGAATAGAAGTAGGGCCTCTCTGAAAGGTTTCTACTTAGGACTCCCACTCCTGCTTGGTGACAGTTTGTCTCCGGAAACCATGACGCCCTCAGCATGGCCAGATCGCGGGTGGATTTAAAGTTGGGAGGGCCTCTTAACAGATCAGGATAAAACTCAGGACAACGCCCTTGAACTTTACCGGGCAACATTCCAGGAGGGGTTGACTCAACTCTCTAGCCTATGGGGACTAATAGGACGGACTGTTGCTGTCGCTGAGGGGCCAGATGGGAGGACATGCTCTGAGACTATGCCCCTCGGTCGTTCAGTGAAAAGAGAGGCGTGGCCACGGAGGTCTTGAGACAGCTGGCGGAGAGCCCCGCGCCCCCGCTGCCTGAGCCGCGCGCCAAGGTCGCGTGCTCCGGGGGCGGGGCCTCCGGGCACGCCCCCTCCCTGCCTTCTGATTGGTCCCTTCGAAACAGGCGGCGGCGATTCGCCGCGAACCCCGAGGCCGAGGCGGCTGTGGCGGTTGTTTAAGGGCGTGCCGACACCGCACAGATTGAGCCGAGATGTCGCTGCGCAGGGAGAAGTGACCCTCCTTGGGCAGGGCGGGTGAGTATTTCCCTGTTTGCCTTGTCTTTTCCGCGCGAACTTCTACTCGTTTTCTCCGGGCTTCCGCGCCTGGGCGTGTGGGTTCGGGGAAACCCCCGCGCTCCGCGGAATCAAAGGGGAGGTTCGGACAGGACCCCCCAAAGCTGCAAGCTGCGGAATCCAAGACGCTCTGCGATTGGCCCGCTGCGAGAGTCGCGTGCTATAATTGGTTCCTCGGGCCGTCAATGTGAAGTTATGCCTCCCTTCACCTGCCGTCTCTCGTGGGGTGAGAGAGGCAACAGGTGTGCTGGGGCGACGGACGGCAGATGCGGGCGTTCTTGGCTGGAGAAGACGTATGGAGCCGCTACCTCTCTTTAGAATCCAAAGAGAGATCAGAGCCTGAAGCTAGTTTAGGGCTTCCAGGGGCACCCTCATCCCCAAACGCCTTGGGTCACTCGATTCCTTAACATCATCCTCAGGAAGTATTGATGAAGTTACAGATCTTGGAAACGGTACAAATAGTCGTTTTCCCCTAGACTCTCTTCCCTGTTTGTCCTCTCTATCCATGCAAGACGCAGATCTCTCAAATGCACCAAACTAGGGGATGTAACTGGAGGCTCCGCGTGATGCTTTCCTACCCACACCCCTCTGATTGCAGCGCTGCGTGGGTTTGGGGGTTTGCAGAAGAAAAGGAAGGCTTGTAGATTTCCTTGGAAATGGGAAGAACGTTTTAGAGGGAATGCTTGCCTGTGACGTCACCCCTGGTTCCTAACTAATCTTTTCAAACCAGAGGATTGAATCTTGTGAATTTAGAATGCTTGAGGTATTGTGTGGTGGGGAAGCCAATTCAGTAGTTACTAAGTGAAGAGATGGTTTGTTGCAGGCCCAATCTAGATCAGAGTTTGGGTTTTGCTTCGTTTGTGTGGAGAGTGCTAATAACTACTCTCTCAAGTTTGTGAATTGCTATCTGATCACCTCTCTTGGCACTTAAATGATTAGAAATCGGAATTCTTGCCAGCTCAGATTCCCTGTGGGAGGAGATTAGAATAGTTTTGAATGAAAAAGTGGAAACTCTGGTGACAGTTTTCTGGTGTAGATACTGATACATGTCTGACTCATCTGTTTCGAACACTAGGCTGTTCACAGCAGGCTATGAATAGTAGGTGTCTCTGCTATTTTGAATTACTGAATTAAAAGTAATATTTATTTAGTGTAGCAGAGTTGCTAAGCATGCGGGCTCTGAAATCAGACTTTACTATGTGTGTGACCTTAAGCAAGTTATTTAATCTTTCTAAGCCTAAATTTTCTAATCTGTAAAAGAAGGTTAATGTGGTTCCTACCTTATTGTTGCAAGGGTTGTTATGAGGGTTAAATGAAATAATCCACATAACTAGTACAGTGCCTGGCATATAGCTATTATTATTTCTATGCCGTTTAATTTGGATTAAAAGTTTCAAGCTATCCTGAAAGGATGAAGAGGAGCAGAGATGAAGTGATTATTCATTGATTAAGTTAATACATGTAAAGCACTTACAACGGTACCTGACACATATTAACATACTGTACACTCTTATTTATCAAATACGTTATTACCTAGAATGTACCAGGTTCTGTGTTCTAGGAGCTTACTTACATTATTGGTAAAGCTCTTAGTAATACTGCACTGTAGTTGTTGTTATCTCCATGTTATACATGAGGAAACTGAAGCCCGGAGAAAGGAAATAACCTAGTAAAGTCCATCATAATTCAGTCCAGACTGTCTCACTCCAAGGTCCAACTTCTTTTTTGCATCATACTGCCCTTGCATTCATGTTCCCAGCATTAAGCAACTCCTCTGCACCTCAGCGTTGTTTTTAGGGCCTAGGTTCATTTCTGCTGTGGATATGGGCTTATTTTGAATACTTCGTTAATTGAAAAAATGAGAAATAACTTGTGATGGTAAATCAGAGTGTGTGATGAGAGAATAATGTCAACAATATACATACTATTACTAAAAAACTAAATAACTCCAACGGTATTTGGAAAATTGGTCTTCAGAAGTATCGTTTCCTAATTTATATTTTCCCATTTTAATTTTTGCTTATTCACTATACTTTTACTCAACAGCACTCTTCTAATGTCTTTTTTTCCCTGTAAATCTCAACTTAAGTTTGGAGATAAGAGAAGGAAGTTCAGTTACTTCAATAATTTTTTTCAAGCCAACTGTCGATGGGGAAAGTAAGGGATTAAGGTTACTATGTATTTTACTTTCTTACAGTAACATGTCTGTGTCTTTATGTCTTATATGTGTGTGTTTTACTTCTTATTACTTGGTGCTTTCTATACTTTGACATCAGATAAACCTTTCCATACCTAATGAACATGTGACGTACATAGGATTTGAGGGAATAGGAAACTTAAGTCTGTCAGTTGTCTCACTTTGAGTTTTCCTATTTTTAATTGAAATTTAACTGCCATAGAGAAATGCCTCAGAAGTAATGTTTACGAGATACAGGCAATAATTATAATTGTATTTCTTTAGTGTTTCTCCTTCTAAAAACTCAAAGTTCTCATGTTATTACATTGTTACAGAGTAGGTTGTTTCAACAGAAAGTTACCATGCATTTCGTAAAGGAATTAGTAGTTTCCAAAGAACTAGAATGTAATAAAATGTAGCAGATAACGCCAAATATAATTTCATCTTTGGTGCTGAAAAGTGGCAAAGGAATTGTATTATGACCATCAGTTATATGCTGGATATTGCTGAAGTGCTGACTGATAGAGACTTCTGCGTACTATCACACAACATAAATTTTTCTGTAAGTAAGTATATTAGTTATGGTAAAGGGCTGACTTTATATAGTTTTAAACCTAATGACGTTTGTTTTTCCTTGATAGATGACTTGTTAATATTTTTGATTCTCAAAATAAAGTTGTCTGTTGAAAAAAATTATTTAACTGTGTTCAGAAGTTTTTCTTTTTACACATACACACACACACACAAATTTAGAAAACATTGTGATCTCAGAACATACTTATATATACTGTCTTGCAGAATGCTTTTAGTTGCATAAGATATGATAGACATATTTTTGTATTAGTAGCTATAGTTCGATCTTGTTTTTTCAAATGGCTGACTGAATCTACTGACTTGATGTCCCATAATTTATTTGAGCAGTTTCCTGCTAATGGACACTTACTGTTTTTACATTTCTTTAGGTTAATGTCTATGTATGTGTATATTTTCCACAAAGTCTTTTAGTCTATCATTTAAAAAGGCAAACTGATTTTAAGTTCTTTAAAAAAAAATTTTGTATCCCACAAAATTTTATGACAAATTAATAAGTTTGTCTAATATCAAATTAAGTTATTCAGGTCGAATCTCTGTCAAACAGCTTAAGACGAAAATTTCAAATGAAAACATCAAAGGTTCCCAACAAATGAACAGCCTCTATATTTTTCAAATAGTATGTGATGTTTTATTAAACTTTAAGAATCTTATTTCTTTCTCTTAAAAGTCTTCCATGTGGCTTTGGAAGCTGCCTTTCCCTTAAATGAATACACAACAGATTTATTACATTATTAATTATTATTTCACATTCCTTTTAGTAATAAATACATTTATCATATTTAGGAGTAATTCCAGTATTAATTTTAGTACTGATTTCTACATAGAAGTAGAAGAAATAGACTGTTACCCCTCAAGGATCTTAATTTTAAAAGTATGGAGTACAGTAAAATTGAAGCATACATTGCTGTATAACCTAAATTGGGGAGGGGGTTCAGGGAGGCTTTTTAGAGGAAATGAATCTGAAGGATAGGTAGGAGTGAGCTGGAACAGAGGGGGAAGAGAGTGTTCCACAAAGATGGATCAGCTTGTGCAAAGACCCAGTCACAAAAATGCTCCAAGAAATTCAAATCTAAAAGAAGTTCAACATGACTGGAGCATAAGGGTCAAGAAATGAGCCTGGAGGGGATCCCATAAGGCTTTGTTAGCTTTGTTCAGGAGTTTGGGCTTTTTCCTGAAGGCAGTGAAAAGCCATTAAGGGTTTTAAGCAGGCGAATAGTATCCTGTCCTCAGAAGGGAGTTTGTGAAAGATCTCTCTGGCTGCAGGATGTGAAGAACAGGTTGGAGGCTCGAAGGCTGGAGCAAGGGTGACTGGTTGGAGGCTGTTACTGTAAACCTGGAGATGATGGTGGCTTGAACTAGAGGAGTGGCCATAGGTGTTGAAGAGAAAATTTAGAAGTAGAAGCAACAAGACATGGCCATTGATTAAGTTTTGGCTAAGGGAAGATAGGGACTCAGGGAGGAAGAGGTAGAAGCGTGAGAGAGAAAGGAATCAAGGATGATCTGGTAACTTGGTGAATTTTGGTGTCATTCCCTGAGATAGTAAACACAGGAAATCTTTGTAAATATTTAAATGGGAGAATGAATGAATAAATGATCTCAGATATACAAAGGCAAGGACATTTGATGGTGATGATAGCGAACACGGTGCTCACAGTGGGTTTTGCCTATAAATTTGGCATCTGTTCTTTATTTTTAAACTGGTGCCCTTTTTCTTATTGCTTCAACATGCTAGGCTCACTACATCTTCTAATCATGTTTTGGATATGTATTGCTTTCTCTAGGTTAGGTCTTGACCCTCTGGGCAAATCCTTCTTTCTTCACTTAATGAGTGTGTTAGTTTCCTATTACCACTAGAACAAATAACCACAAACTTAGTGGTTTAAAACAACACACATTTATTATTTTACAGTATGGGAGGACAAAAATCTGAAGTGAGTTAAAAAAAAAAAAAAGATGGCAGTAGGGCTCTGTTCCTTCTGGAGGCTTCCGGGGAGAGTCCATTTCTTTCCCTTCCCTAGCTTCTAGAGGCTGCCTGCTTTCCTTGGCTCTTCCTGCATCTTCAAAGACAGCAGTGTCACCACTCAAATCTCTCTTTTTCTGCCTCTCTGCTGTCATGGTATCCATCACCTCTCTGCTTCTGTTTTCACATCACCTCTGGCTCCGCCCTCTCTGCATCCCTCTTATAAGGACT